CGTGACTTGTGCGAGGTGGTCTGCAGTGAGCCCGAAGACGAAGTGGGCGAGAAGGAGAGCGGAGCCATAGCGATAGGGGTAGCAGCGGCCATAGCGGCCATAGCTGATAGAGGAGTGTAGTGTGTGTGTGCGTGCGTGTGTATACAGAGAGACGCGTGTGGGATATCCAGGGTGATGCTGTGTGTGTGACCAGAGAGTTGTACAGGCGCTGTGGCGCCATAGCCGTTTGAAGTGAACTTGTATCTGAACTGCGTTCTTGGTTACCATATCTCTGAGTTCGAGTGGGCGCTTGTCGCCAGTTTGCTGCGCTACCTGTTTGCATGTATGTGAAGTGTAAAAAGAAGCGAGTCTGATTGCACAAACGAAGAGAGAGAGGAAAAAAAAAAAAAAAAAAAAAAGAACAAAGAAAGAAAAAGGACAGGAAGGCCGATGTGCATTCCAGGTTTAGGCTTGCCTGTCCCTTTTTTCGTCACACACGTCGGTGGTACAAGTACTGCTTCAAAATTCACCTTCCGCACTACCTCCCCCACGTCCTGCTCCCCTTCATCGCTGTCCTCCTCCTCCTCCGCCGCCGCCGCCTCCTTCCCTCCGTTGTCTTTGGCATCTTCTTTCTCTTTGGAGGATTTGTTTTTTTCCTTTATTGGTCTCTTTTTCCTTTTTGGTCTTGTTCTTTCTCTTTGTGGCCTGTCTAGCCCATTCCACAGTCATGGGCAGACGTCCATACATTTCCAAGTATGAACAGGACAAACGAAGAGAAAGAAAACAAAAACAAACAAACAAAAGAACAAAGAAACAAAAAGGATAGGCTTGCCCGTCGCTTTTTTGTCACACAAGTTGATCGTACCAGTACTTCTTCAGAATTTCAAAGTATGGTACCGGTTGTAAAGATGCTCGAGCGTCCCATTTTCTAGGCTTGGTAATTTAGGTGCAATTGCACTGGTGGTTGGAGTAGAGAGGCATCTGTTTTGAGCCCCAACTTCGTGCATCAAACAGCAGGGCATGTCCACAACACGTCACAACAAATGGAAAGATGAAATCCAAAGCCACCTGATATCTTAAAGTCACACTCTTCTGTGAACGGCCATCCGATATTTTGAGGTCACACTCTTCTAACAAGTTTGTGTAAAACTGGCTGGGTGGCTATGGCCGTCATTCCCAAACAACATGAAAATGCTCTCTCGGACTCTGACCCTCTATGGTACACTACATCTATGGCACTCAGCTTCTGTTGACTCCTAAGCTACCTTATCTATCTGGATGTTTTCTCTCTTCTACCTATGGTACACTACAGGCACTCAGTGCTGTTGACTAGTAATCTGCCTTATCTCTCTCCCTCTCGGACTCTTGCACTCGTCACTTGGTCACACTGGAGCACGGCAGCACTTTCACAGAAAGCACGAGTGGAGTCATGAGTACAGCAACATCTTCTGCTCTGTTGTGTGTGACGAGCTGAATTCCAGCCCTTTGACTTGCAGACCTGGTTGACCGAGTACCTTGCCTGCTTGGTCCTGTCGGCCTTTGAACTTTGCATCGCATGTTCGCATTGAGTAGCACAGTTCACATCACATGGAAAAATGGCATCCAAAGCCATCCCGTATCAGAATGGAAGTGATCTTGAGTTCACGTCCTTAACGTGAACGAGTTTGTGAGCAACTGCCTGGGGGACTACGGCCACCAGACCCAAACAACACGACGGCGGTGAATTCTCTCGGACTTCAAACCTCAGGCCTCTCTCTGCCTGAATGTTTTTTCTCTTCTACATATGGTACAGTAGAGCTATGGTGCTCAGCGCCTGTTGACTACCAAGCTACCCTGTCTGTATTTGCCCTCTCTGACTCTTGCATCCTCCCATGGTCACACTGGGCACAGAAGCTCTTCCACAGCAAGCACAGCTGGAATTGGTGTTGCCACCTTTTTTTTCGTATGTGACAAGCCGTCTTCCATCCCTTGGACTCGGTTGACCCGGTACCTTGGTGACGTGAACCTGCCGGTCTTTGATGTTTCCGGAATGTTAGCTGGCTTCCTTGGGACCCTGGGCTGCTGACTTCACATGGTACCGGACTGACAGAGGACTAGATCGGATTTTACCTGGGATCGGGACTGGCAAAGCTACTGGACGCTATGGTACACGAATCCTACCTGGGACTGGATAAACTGGACTACCGACTCTGCACTGGACTTGGTGATACTAGACACTGGACGCGATCTGCCCGACTGACTGTGTGCGCCGACGTACTGAGACTGCAGTTTCTTTGCACATCACTGCTTGCTCTGCCTTGAACCACTCCTTTCAGGTCTCCAAACTGGTGCTATCAAGTCTCTTGGGTTTGGCAGCCAGTACAGGAAGAAATATATTTTGTGTATACAGCTGACCATCATTCTTCTTCAACCGCACTCGAGGTTATGGCCTGCTCATGTATCTCAATGAGAACTGCATTCGACTGTGACCAGGCAGATATTCTGCTTTTGATGACACACATGACATCAGATTGCTTTTCCTAAGCCATCACTAGCTTGACCTGCAGATCATCAGAGCTCAGTGGTCGTATTGTAATTGTGATTTGGTAGGGAGAGTGGGAGGAGGGATTGGATTCAAAATATTTGGAAGTGCAATAGGTAGTCTTACAGAACGACCATCAATATCTCTACCTGGTTTTGCTTGGAAGTTTGGATCCAAAACAGAGAAGCTACAAAGGAAGTTCTCTGTCATTGAGATTTACCTTCTGTCACTGATGCAGAGATGTGTGTACATAGCTTCTGATGGAGGACGGGTTTGCCGCCCACTGGTAATTGCAGACAGGGGAATCTCGAGAGTGAAGGCTCATCACATGCAAGAGCTAAAGGTACATACTGCAGCTTCTTTCCTTGTCCTCTCTTTGCGTATCTAACTGCTGTCCTAGGTTTGCTCGTTATCAAAAGTTGAAAGATGTGTTAAAAGTTGCAAAAAAGGTCATGCCTGTTCCTTACTGAGTGCTTACAAAATCCCAAAAGTAAATGGAGGGAGCTTCCTATCCGATCTTCCACCGACACTTCTTTCTGAGTATTCAATTTTGTCGCTAGTGTGTCTGGGATGGGGTTGGCACTAGCAATAAAGCAATGCGTCATTTATGAGCCATTGACACGAATTTGGTGAAATCATGAAATGCTGCAAATGCATAAATTTCCGCGAACGCACCTGGAATGTCATTGGCAATAGCAATAAATCAATGTGCCATTTATGGGGCATGTATGTGACTTGATGAACCATGAATGTATAAATTTTCTGGGAGTCGGTTGTGGTGCCAAGACGTGGAACCGGGGTGTGTAAAGTGGAACTCTGTTTTAAGCCAAGGTTGTTGTAGAATCCGGACTCCAGACACAGGGGGTTACTGCCGCAGCTATTGGCTGTCCTGACACTCCCCTATGCTCTGTAAGACCACCTCCCTGCCCATCCTCTCGGCCATTCTCCTAGCGCATCCCTATCCCTTCTAGCCTACCTCAGTTATTGAGTACTTAGGACTATCACCATGCTATTTCAGAGGGCGACCCATAGTCCTGAGTACTCGATAACTGAGGTAGGCTAGTAGGGATAGGGGTGCGCTAGGAGAATGGCCGAGAGGATGGCTAGGGAGGTGGTCTTACAGATCATAAGGGAGTGTCAGGACAGCCAATAGCTGTGGCAGTAACCCCGTGTGTCCGGAGTCAGCTTCTACAACAACCTGTTCCAAGTCGCCCTCTGAAATAACGTGGTGATAGTCCAGAGTACTCAATACTGAGGTAGGATAGTAGGGATAGGGGTGTGCTAGGAGAATTGCTGAGAGGATGGGTAGGGAGGTGGTCTTGCAGAGCATAAAGGAGGTCATTGCGATGCAAGCTCATATGTTATTCAAACAGTTTTATCTCACCCTCTGTTCCCCTCCCCCCCCCCCTGTCAGAAGCCTTATGTACATGGCACATTGTTACAGTCTGGAACGCTGAATACAACCACCCAGTTCGTCCACATTCGTCCTGATGGAGGGCCCAACCAAGTAGACACAGCCCGCACACGGACTTGGTGCGGTGGTGCGTGCCTGGGCATACTCTAAACAATGTTGAGAGGAAGTTTTGGGCACCTAGCAATCATTCTGTCCAAGCCAATGCAGTGTTTTGGATGGCAAATGGTACTACCCAGAGAGGGCATGGGGGGCATCGCCTGCCTTTTTTCCCTGGAAAGCGTCCGTGAGAATGGCCGGCAGGCCGGCCTCATGACACCTTTCACCTCCAACGCAATGCATACTAAGTTACTAATGTTTGAACTTTTCTGCGCTCAGGCTGTTTCTGCAAGGAAAAGAATGACCTTGATTCAGTTTGACAATTCCATAAGAGGAGGATAGGGGAAGCCGTCAGGAGGAGGAGGGGAAAGCTTTAGTGACTGGGTCTGAGAGGTATTTTCAGATTGACAAATCTTGTTTTCACATTTTCTCGTTTATCTATTGCTTGCTCTGTCTGAAGACTGTCGGTGGGCGGAAAACATGTACTTGACATAGTTTGGGGGGTGAATTGAATCGTCTTTAGTGGAAATGGGTTTATGCTTTGACGATGCTACTTGGAAAAGATGTACTACAATTCATGTATGTTTTCTGTGGGTGGCTTGTGAAATGCATGTCCTTTGCAGGGTGGTTTTCGAACATTTGATGATTTCTTAAGGGAGGGCCTGGTGGAGTACCTCGATGTCAACGAGGAGAATAACAGCTTGGTAAGATAAGCAGTTCTATCAAACTTTGAAATCAAATCTTTTAAGTTTTTATGTGATGTTGACAATCTGTGAGCTTAATTCAGCACGATGTCCCTCATGTCCTGTTTACCTTTTTGTTTTTTTCTCAGAAAAAAAGGGTGACAGCCTTGAGATATTATCAACGAACTGAACGGCCCTAGGTAAATACAGAATTGTAATATTTCACTCATCTGCTTCCAGTGGAGTTCGAACTTGGATCTGTATTTCAACAGTTAAGGGGTGTACCAACTGAGCTAGGCCAGTTGCTGTGTTTACTTATTTGTTGAGAAAAGAAAAGAGGTGAAAATACCTTTCCAGTGTGCCTCTTCTATTCCACGGGCGGTTGGTCCTTTTCCATCACCGACTTCTTAAATGTCCTCCTTCCTGCATGTGAAAAAATGGGCGAAAACCATGGGTTTGGACTTCTATTTCTTTCGATAACTAGCTGTTGTGCACTTTTGTGACTCGTTTGCTAGGGTAAGGTTGGCTTTGCATAACTGCATGTGAAACAATTAGAGTGCGCTATTTGTGCCTTGTTTGCTAGGGTAAGGTTGCCTTTGCATACTTCGAAAGCTGTTGTGGCCCAGGAAAGGCATGGCTCCTACAATGGGATCGTTTGGATGCACATACCGACATTTACCCACGTCTAGTGTAACAGCATGCTGCCAGAAGGGATAGAGGGTTAGCAGCAGACAAGGCGAGAGTTCAAGGCGGGGAA